AACCCTAAACCCTAAACCCTAAACCCTAGAGCATGGATCTGAAACCCTAGACCGTAAACCCTAGCTATTTATGAGCTGTGGTTGCTTCTGTCGTTTTGTCAGGATATAGAAAGGGTTTAGTGTTTAGGGTTTAGGGTGTTTAGTGTTTAGGGTTTAGAGATTCTAGGGTTTAGGGTTTAGAGCTTTTAGGGTTTAGGGTTTAGGGTTTAGGGTTTGCACAGAAAGCCCCACTTTCTTCCGGGTACTCTTCAAACGTTGCTGCAAACACACAGCAGCAGCAGCAGCAACAGCAGCAGCAGCAGCAGCAGCAGCAGCAGCAACGGCAGCAGCAGCAACAGCAGGTGCAGATAGAAATGAAGACAAAGCAGCAGCAGAACCTGCAAGACCCTAACGCAGCAGCAGCAGCAGCAACCTCACCAGCAACAGCAGCAACAGCAGCAGCAACGGCAGCAGGACCAGCAAAAGCAGCAGCAACAACAGCAGCAACAGCAGCACCAGCAACAGCCTCAGCACCAGCAGCAGAAGCAACAGCAGCAACATCAGCAACAACAACAGCAGCAACATCAGCAACAACAACAACAACAACAGCAGCAGCAGCAGCAACAGCAGCAGCAGCAGCAGCAGGAGAGTCTAACGTATGGGTCTTTGTGCTTTTTGCTGCAGTCTCCTCTTGAGGGCTCTAAACAAACTTTGCTGCAGCTCCTTCCCCCCCCTCTCCAATACATCCAGTGCTGCTCACAGCAGCAGCAGCAGCAGCAGCAGCAGCAGCAGCAGCAGCAGCAGCGGCAGCAGTAGAAAAAGCAGCAGCAGAAAAAGCGGAGAGAGCAGCAACAACAGCAGCAGAGAAAAAACAGAAATAGCAACAGGGGCAACAGCAGCAGCAGTAACAGCAGCAACAGCAACAGTAATATAATAAATTCTTTTGTAGAGCAGCAGCAGCAGCAGCAGCAGCTGCTGCTGCTGCTGCTGCTCTTGCTGCTGCAGGGAGAACTCTTTAAACAACCTAGCTTAGGGTT